CTCTCTCTCTCTCTCTCTCTCTCTCGTACGCGTTGCACTCTAGGGTCATTGTGATTTCGAACATTCCAGCTTTTTATTTATGATGAGTGGTTAATCCACCCCACAGTCCCCTCCCCCTGAAAAAGCCCGTTTCTTGGCTCGCTACATGTTTATTGCACGTTTCGATGCTTTGGCAGCCGCTGTCCTCTATCTGTCTACGTACTTGGTTTCGCAATAGGACCATGCACAAAAGTTCGGTCACGTGACCGTTCAAGTGAAGTGCACAGGGACGCCCCTCCCCCTCCCTGTTTTGATATGGAGTGTGACTGCACGCCATTACCCTTTTTGAGGCACCATGATGAACAGGGCGCTGTATTAGTGTTTTAAGCGTATCAAAAGGAGTAGAGAAAAAAGCAATTTAGACCAGTTCCATTACGGGTGGTAGAACTTACATGAACTCTCTACTTAGTGCTAAACTGACTGCATAAAAAAAATTCAGAGGGTAGAGGTCCCGATGTCGGTATGTCGCTTTTTTTTGGATCCGGCACGCATTACGAGCTTGATATCGCTTAGATGGCCCTAGAGGAATAGGAAACTTGGATGGCTCAATTGAGCTGTCCGGGTGCTCTGCTCTCCAGACCGGGAGCCCGGTAATAGCCCCATTGAACTCTACACCATTTCTGCCGGAAAAATTTGCTGAAATTATTGTGGTACTACATTATATTATTTTGAATACTCCTATTATTGTCGGAATAAAGGAGAATATGAGAGTCTGATTAGTGACAGGTGGACGTGTTTTCACGTCTGTCTCTCTTCCGCACTGGCACCGTTCCATTCCGCACCTCGTCATACGCCCTATGGTTTGCAGGGATCACAACTGTATGGACTGCATAGAACAAGTTTGAAATGAACGAAATTTCAAGCACTCATAATATTGGACTGGATGATCTCCAGAGATACCATCCACGACTTTGGTGTACAAACAGATACCTAAGTGGTAAGAACCCGCATCTTCATGTCCGTCCCTATAAATAACCGTTACATGAATATTTGTTAATAATGGTCGATCGTTACTGTAATTAGCTAAACTGAAAGATTATGCACTTGGTTTTACGCACTATTTATAATACAGTACTCTATAGACGGCTGTATCTTGGCTAAAGTTGGTCCTAGTGCAATAATGCAGTTCAGACGAAGTCGTTAGCTCATCCGGTGAGAGTTGAACGGCCAATAATCGTACTGGCTCATGCGAATCGGTAAGCGGATGAACAGTTGCTGGCTCTGAAAATTGCGGGGGCAATCGGTTGATACTATGTCCGTTCACACAGTCGAGCGCCAAACAGTTCCGTGGCTAAGAATGAACGCTCTCTTCAGCATGTCAAATAACCCATTGTGCAAAATTGCACTGACTGAAAAGGGTGGTAGTGCTAGATGACGCCAACGTCGATAATGAATGTCATGTCGAGCGGAACGTGGATGGGGGAGGGGGTGGGGAAGGGGTAGACACGTCAGACAGGGCACGTCGTATGTTGGGAAATTCCCAGCGGGGAGGGTCGTATATGGTATGGTTCACAAAACTTTTTTGATTGCTGATTTTTCTGCTTCATGAGTGCTAGTCCTCCCCACCCCGTCCCCCTCCACTCGACGGCAGAATTTCGGGGGAAAACTGGGAACTTCATGGGAAACTCCCGGGACAAGCGGTGGAGAACTATAACTATAAGAAATAGCTGCGGTCGGGTAGTGGGGGAGGGGGTCTCAGTCAAGAGATTGTGCTTCATTGAAGGAGTACTTCAAGTGGGGTTGAAGAGGAAAGATACTAGGACGTTAATATTCGAACTTACCTAGTTCTGAATACGAGACAACAATCAGTAGCAAAGGAAATGATATCATCGAATGAAGTGGTTTTCTGTTTATAGCAGAATACACTTTTTATGAATAAGATCGCAGTTCAGATATATATCACGCCCACATTACTAGGTCAAATGCTGAAGGCCTTGACATTTCGTACAACTCCGCTGACGTCGTTTTACTCCCATTGTGCGCGTTGGTTGTAAGTAACTGGGTGAGTGAAACTAATAAATAAAAGTGAAGGTGATTTTATTATGATGATTGCTGCTGAACAGCCAGTTCATGCTCAAAAAGTGATCACAACGACGTTGAGCTATGGGCAGAAAACTTGATCCAAAAAGGACCCACACGTCATGATTTCCGGGCCAATGCGCTATCCATCACCCCAACCAGGGCTGTTGTGGCTCTCACAGCTCAGCGTGAAGGTCATTGAGGTAAGATGGTTAGAGCGACCCTAGTGGCGCAAGGGATAGCGCATTCACCCGGAAAGCGTTAGTAGGGAGTCCTGGCTGGAGTCGAGACTTTCGCTCTTAACCCAACATTTTTGAGACAAAGGCAAGTCACCCACCCAAAATAGGTTTTCTTTGCTGCCTGAGATCATTAAGACCAATTTTCAATATGACTGATGAAGCTATAAGGACTTCTCAATGGTCCCATGAGTTCTTCATTTCGACAATGCCGTATGCCCTCTTTAAAGTCGTGTTTTGTGAAAGTTTCAACGTTCATGAGTCATACATTCTAAAATTTGTTTGGTCCAGAAGTACCTGTCAATTGTTATAATTGAATAGAACGATACTAAAGGAACAAAGCATCTTTATTAGAACTT